AAAAAAAAAAAAAAAAAAAAAACCAAAACAAAACCAGAAGTTAATTTGCAAATATTAAAAGCAGTCTCCATTTCTTCTCTAATTACAAAGTAACATGTGCCTAATGCATAACCATTGTTTTTATGTTAACTATTGTCTGTTTCATATGAAAATCCTCTTCCAAATAAATGTATCATCTTCTGGTGCCTTGAGCACATCAAACATGTGTCCTACAACACGGTAGCGCAGGGAAAGCGAGGGGTGGTATTTAATCTTGTCTCTCCCCTTGGAGATAAAAGTATACCCACAGAATCTTTCAAGTACTCTGTACCTTTCCCCTTACCTGAACTTCTGGTAGGACTGGGACAGATACTCATTAATGATGCTTAGGTGAGCATTGTCTCCCAGAAACATCTTATTGGAGGCAGCATGCTGGAGCATCTTTGCAATGGAGCCCAGGTTCCGGCGTTGGTCCGTGGTCAGCTGGCCTCCTGCTGACAGGTCGATGATGTCAAATGCATCAGGAGCGACAATGGCTGGATTCATGTATCGATAGTAAAGCAAGTTGCCAATGATCTGGAACAGACGGCACAGTAAGATGAGCATGAAAAACCACACCATCAAGTAAGCCACAAATGACTTTGCTAGCAAAGAAAACCAGAAAATGCAGTCCTGTGAGGAAAAAATAAATCAAAAATACACACACACACATGCACACATGCAAAAACACTTTCTCTCAAGGCCCGGATAAAACAACCAATTATCCCTTTGTTGGATGTGGTTAAAAAAAAAAAAAAAAGAAAGAAAAAGAGAACAGAACTGAAAACCACTACCAGTAATTAACAAAAGCAGATTCAGGAGGTAAAAATGACAGGCTCAAAGTCTGTCATCAAGCATTTTGGAGCATCTTTTGTTCACACGTCACAGCAGCAAATGAGGCTGCTGTCAGCCACACGCACTTTTTACTTTCACATGGGTGGGCTTTCGTTATAAGAAGCTACTGAACACAGTTAAAATAAGTCCTTAAACACGACCTAATTAGCACAGTGCAATCTGTCCAACCCCCATCACCCACATGCTGCAGACTTCAAAGGCCAAGTTCATGCCTTTGAAATTAAATTCACTCAACACATATCTCTTTCACAGAAGAATTCAGGGACAGTCACAGCATTTCCCCTAGAGTTCATTCAGAAAAAATAAAATTAATTCACCTGAACAGAAAGTCTAGAATCGAGGCCTCACTGTAGGAAAGCACAGAACTAGGAGAGAGAAGAAAAAAGCATTCAGATTAAAAAAAAGGAGGAGCAGCGCAGGTGAGTCAGAGAGCTCCCAGCCACAGCCTTAGCAGAAGCAACCGTGCTTGCGGCCATTCGCCTCGCCACCAGCAGAGGGAGCAGTTCTCCAGTGAAAAGATAGGACTCAAAGAAATTTATCTGGAGACAGGAAAAATCCATCTTTCTCTACTTGTTTGCTGTTTATGCACCATTCAGACTGCATAGGAACGGCTCCACACTGAGAAAGTTATCATGTACACATTTACAGTTGCTTTCAAAGGCTCACGATCAACGGCGAGTTGCTGCCAGAGTCTAACGATCCACGGCCTGACGGAGGTTTACATTAACAGCTCTTTCCTGCGGGGCTTTGGAGGGCAGGAATCTGCCGGCTCAGACTCTCACCTTCAGCAGCTCATCCTCACCAGCATCAGGGAACTTCTCATGCAACGAATCCTTCAGCACTTTGGCGATGAAGCGCATCCCGTAACTGCGGGGTGGACAAAGCTCAGTGAGAAGGGCCAGGTGCAGGAGGGCACAAGGCCGGGCTCCCAGGGGGTCATGACAATGGTGGCACTCACGGGATTTTGTCCACAGAGCTGATGATGGCAGAGAGGAACTTGTCCGTCACGGCCCGCATGTTCCTGATGGAGTTGTCCAGCCTCGTCTTCACTTCCTCGTGGGCCAGAGCTTGCTCGGGGGTCACATCGTAGGGCAGTTTGCTGGGAGAGCAGAAATAATCCCAACTCCGTCAGACCAACGGCCAGGTCCAGCCTGAGGCAGGGACCACGTCTTTCATCAACAGAAAGACCCAGGGAGATTAGTAGCTCACACTCCTGCTCACGGAGTTGCTAAGTGGGAGGGCTAGAATTTGAACTCAGGTTTTCAACTGTGAATCAGGTACCTTGAATTGTGTGCCAGGCACTATGACAAGCACTTAGGAATTAAAGGCAAAACATGAGATCCCCTCCTGAGTCTCTGACAGTCTTATGGGAACGACAAACGGATCATTACAAACATATTGTGCTAAAAATAACAAGTTCACCAAATGCGCAGCAGGACCACAGGGAAGGGGCTTCATTCGGACTGGAGAAAGCAAGGACGGCGTCCGAAAGGAAGGGACACCTGAACTCAGGAAAAAAGCAGAGCCAGAGTCTTCTAGGAAGGAAGGTCAAATGCAAAGAAGAGGAGAAATGAAGGTGGAAAAGTAAACAGGGACCAGGCCATGGAGGGCCCTATATAGAATAGTAACAAGTCTGGACTTTCCTAGAAGCTGGGGTGGGAGTGCATTAAAAAGATAGGAGATCTAAGCTAGACACAGTGGCACACTGTGGTCCCAACCGCTTGGGAGGCTGAGATGGGAGAATCACTTAAGCCTGTGAGTTTGAGGCCAGCCTGGGCAACAATAGCGAGACTCCTGTGTATAAAAAATAAAATAAAATTTTAAAAATTAAAAAAAAAATTAGAGATCTTCATTTTGAGGAAGATTGCTGTGGCCCATCATGAGGAATGAACTAAAGATGGACGGTCGCAGACAAAAGAAATAGGAGGCCAGAGCCACAGTCTGATCAAGAGCTGATGAGAGCATGAACGAGGATGCCGCAGTGGGGACCAAGAAAAGGCCTTGATCTGACAGACACTAAGGAGACACCATCAATGGGACTTGGTGACCCTTCGGATACTGGTGAGGGAGGAGACGGTTACGTACAAGAGTTGAAGCTAGAGATGCCGACAGGATTGCTCGAGGAGAGAGCACGGTCAGAAGGAACTGGCCAGGACAGTGGATGCGCTAGGACGCGGGGCCAAGGCTTAATGGGGAAGGAAATAAGGAAAGAGGGGTGAAACACAAAACAAAGTGTGTGTGTTGGAGGGGGCGTATCAAGGTTCTGGTACTTTCTTGGATTATCCGGGTGGGCCCTAAATCCAATCACAGGTGGCCTCATAAGAAAGAGGCGGCTCGAGATTCGGTGCACACGCAGGAGGCAATAACGTGACCACAGAGGCAGAGACGGGAACTGCACGACCCAGAGTCACGGGAAGCCAACAGCCACAAGCAGCCGGAAGAGGCAAGAATGGATGTTCTACTCGAGTCCCCGGAGGCTCTGCCGGCACCTTAACTTCAGAGATAATGATTTCAGTGAGAATAAATGTCTGTCGTTTTAAGCCACCACATGTCTGGTGATTTGTTATGGCCGACATAGGAAACCAATACAAGTAGACAGGGACACGACTCCATTTGCCATAGTGTGGCTGAATTACAACAGGCAAACTATGAATATGAGAATTCTGCAAAAATTAACGGAAACATTCGGTGAGAAACAACTGGATGTATGGGATAATAAAGAGTACTGCATATTTTACCTGTGACATTTAAAAAGCAGTGACAAGCGAAGGGAATCAAAGTGCTAAAAACAATGGTTCCAGTTGGAGACTAGAACATTAAATTCCTAAGATTTTAGAAGTGAACATACCCAAGAGGTGGTAAGACCCCCATTTGCTGTGTGTGGAGGCCGGAGTGAAAGAGGAGAGCTCACGGCTCCGTGATGCTCACGTGCGGGAGGGGCTCCCGCCACACCGTCACCCTCGCAATCATGGGTATTTTTAAAAAGGGTAAAATCGATTCCACTTTTATGAAAAGCAAAATAAGGTACCAGTTTCTTATAGGCACCCACAAGAAAAAAAAATCCTGAAATGTCAAGTGGAATTTTAATCTAAAAATGACTGACTCATGGACCAGAGAAATTAACTTAGTAGCTTGAGCCAGTGTCCATGGGCCCAACACCTAGGGATGCCCCGGGTTGTGGGCAGAACCTCCCAGACAAGTATTGCAGTTGGCTGACCACATTCCAGGATTTGGGCCTCGGGCGTGCTGGCCAAAAAAAAATTTTTTTTTAAATCACACCCAGCACAATGATCTGACTCCTGGTGACAGACTTTAAGTAGCACAAAGAACCAAATCAGATGCCAAATGATTCCCAGTAGGGGAGAAGCTCCTTCCAGGAATCAGCAGAACGCTCTGTTCTCTGCCCAGGGTATACATGAAAGGCAGGACGCTGCAGAGCAGTGTCAGTCTACAGAGCAGTCGTTGATCAGGAGACTGAGCCAGAAGGTAAATCAATACACGCTTCCTTCATTGAGAAAGTCTCGCTATGAAAAAAAGTCAGTTAAAATAAACACTGTGCTTAGTGACACAGATGATTTTCCATTACTGGTCTGCAAACCACACTTTGAATAGCAACAGCATGGAAAGCTACTCCTCCCAAGCCCCAGAGAGCTTCACGCATGATCTAACACTACTCCGCAACAACAAGAAAGAAACCACAGCTGCTCACATCTCCATTCCTCACCCAGGCTGAGTAAGGCCAGAGACATTTTGGCTCCGTGAACTCGACTTTCCCAGCATTACTCGTATTTGACTGACACATTTTTGCTTTAGATAAGTTAATGCCGGTAGGCAAACTACTGCCTGGCAGAGTAATCTCCTGTGATATGTTTAGTTAGCCCAGCTCTCAATGTTCTAAGGCAGCTCACCATTCACTCCATGCCATTTTCTCTTTCCTTTAATGAAACACAGTGATCTCTCCCAATCTATATAAACCTTCCCATTCAACTGCATCTCTAGCTACGCCAGGGTCCTTTTAGGCCCTGGACCCTCTGCCTTAGAGGGTTCAGACGAGAACACTCTGCATCTAGCTCTAGCAAGGTGGGCCCCATCTTATCCCGTAGGCCTCAGCTAAATGAAATTTCACCTTCTGAGACAGGCTTTCCCTGATCATCCTATGTTAGCTCCTACCACAGTACCCTACGTAAAACTGCACGCAACTTCCCTCAATTTTCAATTATACTTTTAAGTATCTGTTTGTTGTCTCTCCCACTCAATAAACTACAAAGAAAGAGCAGGGACCATGTCTGTTTCATTCATTCATTATTGTATGTTTCACTATAATAATTGCATTATTGTATGTGTATCTAACAGTGCCTAGCACACAGTAAGTGCTCAATAAATATTTGCTAAATAAGTGAATTTATTACCAGGTCAACAATTTACAGAACAGTTTTCTAAAGAAAAACTATTTGGATAATTCTCCATTTTATAAATCAAAGGTTAATAACTACATTAATAAAAAAGAGAGAAAATAACAACATGAAAGAAAAATTGTTATGGTCACCATACCTTGCCTCTCCTGTCTGAGACTCCATCTGATTAACCCAAGATTTGTAAATATCCACAGGGTCGGTTTTAATGTTGAGAGATTTGTCGTCCATAATCTCCTTCACAACTGGGGCCAGGATCTGTCGCAGTGCATTCTGGCCCCGGGCGCCACGGTTGAAACTTACAACCATCTTAATAACGGTAGGATTTCCTGTCACGATCTCCTGAATCTGATCTACCTTTGACCTATAAATCATCAAATACAAATTCAATTTCAACTAATCACAGAACCTAGCAACTTCAAAGATCCTTCCTAAAGATCATCTCTCCTGGAAACTGTCTTTCTCTAGAAACATCTCCCAGCACTCACAGGACCTTCCTGCAGCTATACACTCAATCATGGGAGTCATGAGTGGGTCCTCTATTAGACAAAAACGTGGAATCTTCATGTTTGGATCAGTTTTTGAAAGTATATCTCAATACAGAATGTTTCTAAAATTTAATTTAGCAAATTATCTTATTCTACCCCCTCCCCAGAAGTACCAACACTTTATACTAATTTTAAAAGTGCATGCTTCCTTAGGGTAAGTATTGTTCACAAATTAATTGAGATCAAGAAAAGGTATAGGCAGGCGTGACTCTCAAACTGGGTGCTTCTACGATAGCGGGAAGGAGCCCCAGGCCCCGCAGAAATCTGCTCATACTTGATTTCCTCCTGGAGCGCTGTCTTAAAGAGCCGTAGGAGCAGGTACTCCTCTCGCTGGTTGGATGCATAGTTGTAGAGTGTGAAGATTACAGAGTCCATGAACTTGGTGGACTTGTTCTGAGGCATCTGAAAAATCAGCTTGGCCAGATAGGTGGGATTGGTCTGAAATAAAACCAAGGGAAAAGTCATTTCTAGATAACATAAAGACTGGCAAAAAAAACCACAAAAAACCCTCTAATTTTTTAAACTTGAAGGATAAGAAGGTATAAGGAAGGAAAAATAAGACAGCCTTTCACTCACCCCTCAGTGGAAATCAGAAATATTTCCAGAGGGATTTATGGGTAAGCTTTTCTTATGCAAAAGTAAATTAACTAAATTTGCATAATACCAACTCAAGGAGCCACTTACCTGCAATAAATAAAACAGATGCTGATAAGCTTCCAATTTCTCTCTTTTCTCCTTGCTCAAAGCCTTGAGACCGCCTTTCTGTTTGTTTATCATCATCATATCAGATAACTGTTCCTTATTTTTTTTAGTAAGTTTTTTACTGTGGGAAACCACATCCTATAAACAAAAACCAACA